TCAGAATTCGATTGTGTTTTGTCTTTTCAGTTTTCACGTGAGCATTGCGAACAATACAATCGAAATTGCGGAAATAAACTGTATTAAGCTCTCTCAGTGTATGTCTTTGTCAATCGGCCAGATTGCGCGCCATCAGCTCGATACCCTGAAAGGCGACTGGTCGCCATACAATTAACTTTTATGAATTTAAGATAAAATGTCTAATATAAGTTTTTTTTAAACTTTAATAAGCAGATTTTAATGGGGACAATAAAGTAAATTTCAAAACAAATTAAAAAACAGAACATATTTTGATTTGATTTGATTTTTATACATAGTCCATCTACAGAATAATCATTAAATAGGTAATAAAACAATGAAATAAAGCATTTATAATTATTCAAGAAAAACTATATGATGTAAAAATGTAAATATAATTATCATAAAAAAAACAATATATTCACAATATCAAATCACTATTATATATCTACATTGTCTGTGTTTCTTGCAATTACTATATACTCTTTATTGTCTGCATTTTACTATATGTTATATACTGCTAATAAACCTAGAGTAAAATGCACACGATATAGCGTATACAGTACCTGCGAGAAACGAAGACAATATTATTAGATATATAGTGAAAATAAATTTTGCATACATGCATTTCTTTTATTAACAGCATTAAATAAAATGCAGACAATTAAGAGTATAATAGAACTTGGAGTAACGCAGACAATATAGATAAATAGTGAAAATGAATTTTGCAGACATGTTTTAAAAGCCAACTTGTGCATGGACATCTAGTTTTTATTTGATTTTTTTACATTATTTGTTGTTTAATACTAAAAAAAAATAATAACAGTCTAACATTATATCTAAATGTGTTGGGGCTAGATTAAAGCAATATAAAGATAAATCATCATTTACCACTTTCTAATTTCTATTTTTATATGAATTTACTGATTAGGTCAAACGCATTACTATCATTCTATCACTGCTTGTAACAAATAATGTGTGTTCTTCTTCCAGACTGATTTTAGAATTTTAAGACAAAAGCAATAAAATGAACAATCGATATTAATTAAGTGATATACGTTTTATACTGATTTAAACTTATATCAAACATTCCATCAAGACACTATAAAGACGAAAAGTTTGTTCAATCGAAAAGACAGGCAAACTCAATCCAAAAAAATGTGATCAAATTGTGCCCAAATTGATAATTTCAGGTAAGATACTTTTTTTTGCTTCCAGTGCAGACTTTCATTGTTATATGTTTTATTTTGGCGGCTTTGCCGACGAGTTGTTTACGCATCTGACTAAAGTCTCATAGCCAAAACCCCGTCAGAGGCAAAATGTTTCTTTGACCAAGAACCTTTACACTCATTACTCAGTACTTGCTGGTTCCAGGAAGCATAAGAGCCATTATCAAATTTCGCCTAAAATTTCATACTGATTTTTTGTGAATTTGAACATTTCATACCAAAATTTTACCTGATCTGGTAGAAACAAGCAATCAGATGCTGTTGTTAGAGGTATTTAACTTAAACATACCCTTTCGAATAAATTTTCATTGCCAGAATGTGATTGTTGATTATTGCTTGTCTGTGCAGTAACGACTATGTTTTTTTCAGTTTGTGTCAAATAATATGATTTTATCAACAAAAAATAAATTCACGTACATTTCATTATAATTTTAAAATACCTTTTTCAAATCTTTATTTTTTTTTATAAAAATTATTCTATTTTATAAAATCATAAATCATTGAAATATTGGAGCATAATGATGATAGTATTTATTTCACACACATAACAATGTTATGTGCTCTTGTTCCTTTTTTATGGACAGTGTTTGTTGTATCATTTTGTATACTAGTGTAATTTTTTCTCAGAATCTTTGTGACGAAATGATAAAATCAAACTGTGTTACACCAAGGACATGCTTGTTACTGCAAGGACTAAAAAGGGTTATTTAAAGGACTTTAAACTTATTGTTTACTTTTTAATGTTTTAATGTTGTAACATTGAACTTTAGAACTAACAATTTAACTAGAGTTAACAGCAAAAGGAAATGAAATTTACATTTTGCAATTGTTCATCTTGAATTTTCATTTCACAAAAAAGGAAACCATTTTTAAAGTTATCGGGAGAACAACTTCGTTATTGTAAGGATAAAATGTTTTAAAATGAGAATAAAAACACCTATATCAACATTCATTTAACAATTAATTAACACTTGAACAAAAAACCTTAACATTTTGTAATTGTTCATCTAAAATTTTCATTTTAAAAATGGAAAACCATTTTTAAAGTTATCGGGAGAACAACTTCGTTATTGTAAGGATAAAATGTTTTAAAATGAGAATAAAAACAACTATATAAACTTTCATTTAACAATCAATTAACACTTGAATAAAAACAGCTTAACTATGTCTAATTATCAACACTTTTTACTTAAAATAAGTCATTCATCTTATAATCATTGTAATTAGTTCTTTTTCAAATTTAAGTATCACTTTAAGAATAGTATTTGCCTTCCAGTGAAAAGCCAACACCGTTTTTTTGTTGCTTTCTTAAGACTTTTGTGTGGCTTATTCAAAACACATTAACAAAAAAATAAATTAAATTCAAAAAAGTAAATGTTTGTAACATCATGGCACTAATGGTAGTGTTAGTTTATTTCTATAACTCACATGGACTATTCCAGGATAAGGTCTGTCATTGAATTTTATGATGACATATCTATTTAAACACTCATTGATTGGAGGTACAACGTACTTGTTTTTATCTATGTCACTATTTTCATTGCATTTGTCTATTTCTTGTCTGTGTTCAGTTTCAGTTTGATCTGTTTTCACCTGTATTTTACATTTGTAATTTTCTTCACTTTCTCTCTCATTTGCAGTTTCTTTGTTAACACCTGCTTTATAAACCTTGGCATCTTCATTATTTTTTCATCAATCTTAATGTTATCATGTTTACAGCTTTCAACTGGGATTTTACTTGTACTTTTAGGCTTTGAAATTACCCCTTCAAATGTTAAAAGTGGAACAAAATGATTAGGGGTCCAGTGGACAGCTGGAATATCGTCTCTTGTATTTGTCCACAATATATATATTTGTTTAAATTTTGCCGCACTTCTGGGTAATATCAGGCGGTTTAGATCCTCTCTGACTTTCGGATTTCCTTTGTTGGGATACACACTTTTTATTGGTGCCCCAAGAACACTGGACAATGCGAACATTTGCCAAATGCCCATAAATGACTTATTTTGTGTCAATGACAATACTTCTTTTCTAAATATTTCTTGTATCAGTTTTTCATCAAGATTCATTCCAGGTATAAAATATTCAGAGTACATTGCATATTGCTTAGCCAGGTTGTTTGCAGTTTTAGCTTCCAGCCCTTTATTCAGGTTTTCATTGTTTAAATAGTAATCTTCATGTTCAGACAGTTCTTTGATAATTCTTGTTCTTATTTCTTCTGGTCTCGTTGGAGTGCCAAATGCAAAAACACTTCCGCATGATGGCAAACAGTTTCCGTCAGCATATACTTCAACTGGATACAAGTCAGATTTATCTATGTCCTCAGGAACATCAACTACTGATTCGAAATCTACTTCAAGTTTGTTTCCGTAAACACTTACCTCATCAGCTTTTGCAAATGTATTCATGTCTGGTATTCCTGAAAGGGATTTCTGCAGATCACTGAATGTTTGACACAAGTTCAGATTTTCTAGCAAGTGTTCATAATTTAATTTTTGTCTCTGTCTGTACTGGTTATGACGCAATGTTCTATTTTCATTTGGAAGTAAGATTGGCCCATTACAATGTTTGTCTATGTTATAAAGAGTTTTATTGTTTTTTTTTAATCAAGTGTGATCCTCTTTGATTCCTTAATCTGCCTGCTTTCTTTGTGTCTTTCAGTTCAAAATAACTTACTTTGGGTCTTCTGCCACTGTTTATAACATTATCCTTTTTTACTTCATCTGAATAAATTTGTTTGTCTTCTATTATTTTGACCTTTTCATATTCATGCCCTTTATGTTCAACCCCTATTGTACAGTCACAGCTCAAGTTTCTGTATGCAATGCATCCATCTGTATAACATTTGACTTGATGCAGATTAAGTGTACCAGGCACAGGTTTCAAAATTGCATTTGTGAGTACCTTCTTTTCTTCTAAAATATTTGCTTCTGTTACTTAATACATTTTCACTTTTGACTCTTTCGACACAGCCTTAATTAATTCTTCGGCAGAAGTAATGTCAGTACCAAACTTTATGATATTATCTGCTTGCCTTTTTATTGCGCCACCTACAGCGTCGGGGATGCCTTTCCCATGACCACTTTCAAAAAATGACCATAAAACATCTTGGAATCCGTAAGACGTTCCTTTGACTGAAGCAAGATAGAAATTTCCCTTCTGACGATATTGTGTAACTGGGCCGTCACTAAATATCTCAAGTTTTGTTATTTTAGGGTATTTAAGTTTAACTTCTGTCAAAATAGGTTTCAGATGGGCCCAAACAGCTTCTGGACCATGTACAAGTGACTCACTAACTGCGCAAAATGTGAAAGGATTTTCATTTTTGACATGAGCTATCAGTTGTTTTTTTGAACCGCCAAAATGTACGCTCTGAATTTCTGAACTATACTCACATACATAATATTCCGAAAAATCGACATGCAGTATGCACTCGTTTTTCTTATATGTTTCGTTTCCTTTTTGAAAAAATAATCATACTGGTTACAAACTATAAATATATGTTTTGAGTACCTTTTCAACTGATCATCAAATCTGTCAAATAAAGTTTGAACTGATCCTTTTTGTGCCTCTTTTACATTTATAGTTATGATTTTTTCTGTATTATTTCCACCTTTTTTATTGTTCTGAATAGCTTTCCATTCAATTCTCAAATTGAAAAATGGTGTCAAAGCAACCCAGGATAACCCAATAAACTTCATTTGCTATGCACAGTTATGTAGGTCAATGTATGTTTTTAAGTAAATGGTCCTTGCAATAACAGATAATGTCCTTCCAATAACAAAATAACTCGACGTTGAAGTTTTAAATCCAATAGATTTTCAATTACATTATAAATCCATGGCAAAAAGATACTTTGTGTCGTCACGATAAGTTTTTATCCCGTTGATATACATAGTATATGTTTAAGGAAGATTCTGGTGAATTATGTACTTCCAATAACAGTTCCTGTCCTTGCAGTAACACAAATCAAAGTTATTGTAAGGACTGTTGCTGCAAGGACTTACACATGTTATTTTGAACAATGTTTACTAAAGAAAGAAAAGGGAGGCAATTTTGAATATATGAAACATCACTGACTTATATAAGCTATTTGCAAGAGAACAAATAGGATCTTTCTTATACATATGATAAATAGGAACGTGTTACATAAAAGGACAGTTTTTAAAATCATGCCTCCAGCTACTTACCGATTTCCTATATTTTCTCAAACCAACTTCAATATTTGCACATGTTTCTTTACCGTCGCCATTTTGGAAATATAGCTCCTCCTTTTGAAGAGTAGACTGCAACTTTTTACCCCAACTGAAATTATCTACACACAGTACTGTTACTGGAAGGACATAGAAGAGAATGAATTCAGGGACAAAATTTGATCATGTATTTGTTTAATTTGTACTTTTAACTATGGACTCAATTTGTAAAAATATGTTTTGTGAAGGATCATATTTTGCTTTCCCAAGCAAAAATCATCATTCTGGCAATACAAACAATTATTATATTTTATTTTTGGGACAAGAAAAATCAGGAATTTTACAGGTAAAAGACAATCACATATTTCAAATAAATTCAATAATTTGACCTGTGATTTGCTTAGTTTATTAAACTACATGTACTAATAATCATGCAATTTATTATTAGACACTTAATATGTTTTTTGTAAAAAAAAATGAAAAGGACAAATTTTCTGCCGAAATCTGATATTGTCTCATAAGAGAGTGTCTTTAGCTCCAATCTTCCTATACAACCTAACTAAAATGTATAAATCAAATATTTTATCAAATACACTTCACTTTATATATATAGTCATTTTGTCCAACAATCACACGCATTTGCAGGAGAAAATATTGTTAATTGCTCTAGTGCGTCGACTCAACTCATCAATGATGTTAATGTCTATTTAAAAGGAAAGACAATAACCAGTTATTTTAAAACAAATGCAAATGTCAGACAAATGTTTTATTCGTTTAATTTCCTGTTTGTTATATGATCCTCATTTAGAAATGATACGAAAACAAACAATGTTGACATTCATTTAAACCCAGCATAAAGTGTTATGTAAAATGTTATTTCGATTATTTCATTATCATATTACCACAGTATGAACATTGAAGACAAAATGAATTCTGGGATTTTTTTTTCATTTAAACAAAGTGATGATATCAACTGCCCTAGAAGTTTTGGAAGCTAATTCGAATTCTATAGAAAATACCAAGATTGATTCAAATTAAAGACAACACAATCGTGCACGTTAAAAACTTGCTATTTAATTTAATGAAATAGAAAATATTTTATGACAGCAAAAAAAAAAAGCTAAACGTTAGTTTAGCTGTTAAAACAATCGATCCAAAATTTTCCCTTATTCATGCATTTAGCATGTTATTCCTCCAGTTAAACTCAGTATTATAAATACATGGCATTTCATGTTACAAAACAAGAAAAAATATCGCATAATTATTGTTTTAAGTAAACATCAAAATAATGGGAAACAAACCAAACTAATTATGACTTTAAAATAAAACCTTAAGAACTTTTTTTCCATTGTGGTCCAGAATGCCCTAGCGAGACACAATAACTTTGTATTACATTTTAACTAATCAACAATTGAAATGAACGTGTATTTTAATCAATGTTTCGCACGGTTAAATTTCTTTTTCCATGCACTGACTAAATAATAGTAAAGGTACAAAACGATATCATATTTTGTATTGGTACTTCTGATGATCATCAGCTTCATTACATCAGCTCATTTATACTACCAATACTGTAGATTACTAAATTCATTTCTTTAAATGTCTTGCTATGGAGCAAACTTAAAGTGTTCACGTGACTTACATTTTTAGCCACCATAAAAGGACAAAAACAACCATTGCAATAATACCTTTTAGAGAACAAAAAACATCTTAAAACGTAAATAATAAACAAAGATTGTTGTATTCATAATAATTTCATAGATTTGAAGAGGTGTAAAATGTTTGAGGACAAAGTATCTTCAATTTAGAAAGTTTGTGCTTTCTTAATAAATACAACATAATTTGTGTGACCGTGCTTTATTAATACAAATGACACGTAATAAAAGAACGAATCAAAATTGTCTTAAAACGTGTGCATCACGCGCGAAGATTTGCTTTACTGGTAGCGCTGTAAGTTTAATAACGTGTTAAATTCTTTTGAAATTTATTTACTGTAAAAAAGTCATCCAGAAAGTACCAATCCGATGGATTGCAATTAATATTAAATAAGACTTAGATTCAATTAAGTGTGTACATATTTAAATGGCCGAACAGAAATATGCATGATTTAACTTTTCCTCGGAGAAAAATATATCAAATATTTGCCTGGTTTTATCAAAGATGGACTTGTTAAAAATCAACGCTGTTTTAATTGTGCGGAAAGATCAGACACTAAACCAATCCTAAATATTCATGTATCTATATCATTCTAATTAAAACCATAGTATTTTAGAATATGGATTTCAAATTATACTAACTTAAACGTTTTAACATTTTATTACTATTTTGCAATACTTTTTTTAAACATTATATATACAAAATGTGTTCTAGTTTCAATTGGGAGACGTTGGTGCGTTAGTTATTTCACAAAAAAACACTTAAAAAGCTCTTTCAGGTGTTGAAATCTATATTACCAACGACATAAAAATGTGCTAAAAATATGAATAATATATAGTGTTAGCAAGTTTGTCATAATAAAAAAGTCTATGTCGTACATATCAATCATTTTGTCATCCTATTTAGTTATTGACTTAAAGCTGAAATGAGATATAATTATTGATTTTGAAGTATGAAACCATAAGGCAAAATGAAGGTGTCTTCAAATTCACTCTTCTTTTTACTCATTGTTTTTATTTTCGTGTGCAACAAATTAGAATACATGTAACTTTTTTGAAGTGAACATCTTTTAATACTTATAAGGGGTTATTTTTGCTATTTGCAAGTATTTGCCATTTTTGCGAATTGAAATTATTAGCAAATATGTGATCGAGCAAATATTATTTCCTCTAATGCAAGCATTCAACACGTTTTCATACAGAATTTTACATGTCCAGAAACTGAGATTGATTGATCTCATTTCTTGTTTGTTTAAGTTTGATCAATTGAATAAAACGATTGCAATAACCTGCTTAATTAATTATATCACAAAAAACAGTATTATATTCAAGAAATTATAATTTCGCAAATATTTCTACACACAAAAAATGCCACTTTTTGACATTTGCAAAATTTTGTGATGCATAAATATCCACTTATACAGTACCAATGAAAAAATATAAACGAAAGTAACAAATGCTTTCACTGAAATCTGATATTAAGTAATAAAAGCAACTTATTTTACGCTTCCTTAGCACTTACTTTAGCAGTATTAGTTTTTAAATACTAAATTTTATTTAAGAATTGGTTCCAAAGAAGCAAAATGGTTATAACAATACTGAGATTAATAAAGAGACAGCATTTCGTATTGGTCTTGATTGTTATTGAAAGGCAATTGTTGCGGAGATTTACAACGACTTGTCGATATACTGGTATATTCAGATGAAGCATCAGCTAATAAGACCTCATCAAATATTCCTTGTAGTGCAATAGTTTCTTTAATATATTGTAATGATCTAGAAAAGTTTACCTGTTTACTTCATTTGTTCATTTATACTTTCTGTCATTCATTGATCCTACTTTCGTTTTTGAAGCTTTTACTGGCAATAGCACATAAGTTTTGACTGGTGTCTTAGTAAATTTTCACAAGACA